TTATTATTGTTATTATTATTATTATTATTATTATTATTGTTATTATTTTTGAACAGTGCCGGTAACACTGGTTGGCTGATTAAAAAACAAAACAGTAGCTTACCAGGAAGTCATTGATCACGATCTTCAAGCTGTCCTCCTGCTCCAGGAGCAAATAGTTGCTCTGTGAGCATGTGACACTCACATGCTCTGTGCATGCAAGTTTCCCCATTCTCTCCCCCATCCCCGTTTCATTGGTCCACTGTGACCTGTTCGGTAATTTCATTGGTCAGATTTTTTTAAAAATTTTGATACAAGTATTGTCATTGAGTCACGAGAGAGAGACGTATATTGGGCAGCTATGTGAGCACCCAGGTGTGACAAAGCTAAATGTTTTTGGTGGCAGGAAGCTCTTTAGCTTGTCAAAAAAAAAAAATCCATAAATTAGCCGCAGCATTGTATAAGCTACAGTTTTCAAAGCCTGTGAAAAAAGGAGCAGCTTATAGACCGGTAATTATGGTACATAACTGGACACTTTTCATGGTGACAGGTGATATCAGTCAGCACAGGTGCATTGTAACTCTTATACCAGACTTAATAACACCTGAAGGACAGTGGCAGCTCTACCAGAATAAATTAAACTGCTTTGTTGGAGATTTATGGAGCAGAACTTGAGTTGGTTGGTTTGTGGGTGGGCATCACTGGGTCAGCCCTCGAATGGTTTAGATCTTACCTCGCTGACAGGTCCTTTTGTGTCTCCATCAAAGATTTTAGTTCAGCCTCGGCAGCGCTTAAATGGGGGGTACCGCAAGGTTCCATCCTTGGTCCTCTTTTATTTTCTCTATACCTGCTGCCACTAGGTGCTATTTTCAGGAAACATAACATACCTTTTCATTTCTACGCCGACGACTGCCAAATCTACTTCCCCCTCAGACTCAACGGTACTCGCTCTATTCAACCGTTACTGGACTGCCTGGCTGACATCAGAGATTGGATGGCTTTAAATTTCTTGAGTTTCAATGAGAAGAAATCTGAAGTTATGCTGTTTCCTCCCAATGACACAATCACCAACCACTGCATCGACCTATCCGTTCTGTCACCGTTAGTGAAACAAAGAGTCACTAATCTAGGAGTGATACTTGACCCTTCTCTGAAACTCAACAATCATGTAAATATGATTGTTAAATCCTGCTTTTTCCAGCTGAGGCGACTGTCTAAGCTGAAGCCCATATTGTCCAGAAATAACCTGGAGACAGTAATTCATGCATTCATTACATCCAGGCTCGACTATTGCAACTCACTCCTTTTTGGTATCAGTCAGACCTCCATAGCTAGACTCCAACTGGTCCAAAATGCAGCAGCCCGGTTTTTGACCAGCACAAGCAAAAGAGAACACATTACTCCTGTTTTGGCCTCCCTACACTGGCTTCCAGTTCACTTTCGAATCAAATTCAAAATGCTCTTGTATGTCTATAAATCACTAAACAGCTCTGCCCCCTCCTATCTTACTGATCTGCTCCAGCCGTATGTCCCACCACGTTCTCTCAGATCAGCAGACCAGTTGCTCCTAACAGTCCCAGGAACCCGCCTCAAGCGCAGAGGTGACAGGGCCTTCTCTGTAGCAGGCCCAAAACTTTGGAATGAGTTACCAGGCCCCCTCCCTCACAGTTTTTAAATCTCGCTTAAAAACACACTTTTATTCCCTGGCTTTCTGCACTGTGTGACCTGTGCTGAGTCTGTGTGCATCACACTGTGTTGGTCATGTTGCAGTTGTTGTTGTTATCCATTATTGTTTTTGTCGGTTTCTACATTTTTGGTGTCCTGTTATGTAATCTGTTGCTATGTGCTTGTTCTGTTTGTCCCTGTACAGCACTTTGGTGTGCTTTGTCACTGTTTAAAGTGCTATATAAATAAATTGGTATGGTATGGTATGGTAATGCATAGTGTAGTCGTCTTTAAAACCTTTCCTCATTGTGAATAAAAATGTTTCCATGACAGGTGCACAACTACAGCGGCCCCCTACGAGTTCGCATCTCTTTGGTGACCAAGAATCCCCCATACAAGCCTCACCCCCACGAACTTGTGGGAAAAGACTGCAAACACGGCTACTACGAGGCTGACTTGCAGGAGAGACGGATACACAGGTGGGTTTGGTTCCATGCCTGGGATTAAACTTTTTCATCACCAGGATGAATTTACATCATTTTGAATGTGGCCAGAATAGATTTACGTCATTTGTAAAATCTTTAATTTTTATTTTGTGGTTAGAGCAGTCATCCTCCAATGCAAGAGTTGGGGGTTTGATTCCACCAGCAGTCACATGCTGAAGTGTCGTTGGGCAAGACACTGAACCCCTCATTGCCTCTTATGTGGGTCCCATCGGTGTATGAATGTGATAAAGCTCTGATTATTCTCTTTAGAATGATTTATTCAGATTATCTCTGTTCAGATCTAGTAGAGTGCTGTGTGAATGGGTAAATGAGGGCACAGATTGTAGTGTAAAGAGATTTGACAATCTTGATTAGATAGAAAGGTGCTATATAAGTTAGTCCATTTACCTATCAGAGCAGGGCGGGTCGTGCTTTCTGATAAACATGAGCCCAGGTGTGAGCAGTGGCTCAGCTGTGAGACCCTCTCCATCCTAAAGAGCTCACATGCGGTCTGAATCACTTTCTTTGAAATGATAATGTGTACGGAGCCTCGTCATTATTGTACAGACGTGCAATTTGCTCTGGTGACTAAACTTCAGGTTCTTGAGAGAACGAGAAATATTAACACTAAAAGACAAATGTTTTAGGCCCCAGATTATAGAAAAGATGTGTGTCTCCAGTTAACTTCATTCCCCCTCCCCCACAAACTCTTAGAGTTCTCTCTATGAGAGAGTCAGTTTCAGGTGTTTGTAGCTTATCATAAATATCTACAAATTTTAATTCTACATATTATAGCAACAACAAGGTGTTTTGTCTGTTTGGATGTGCTCAGCTTGCTAATATTTAGAACTATACTGCAAGGTAACCCTAACAGGGGAGTGATGCCACAGAGGCTAGAGAAGGTGGGACTGTGATCGGAAGGTCGCTGGTTCAACTCCCTGGACCGACAACATCAAAATATGGGTGGAAAAGGTGAAACACGTACACCTGCCTCCACCCTCATTTGTCCCATTCTGGGCCCTTGAGCAAGGGCCTTCAGTGTTTCACATAGATAACTTGCCATGACAGGCCGCTCATCTCGTAATGATGTCATAATGAGTGTCATGGTGTTATGATGTCATGATGATGGATACACTGGATAATACCATGGTGTCATGATGAGTATCATGGTGTTATGATGAGTGTCATGGTGTCATGAGTGTCATAGTGCAATAATGACGCCATGGTGTCATGATGAGTGACAAAATGACATCATCATGACACTATGATACTCATCATGACACCATGAGTGTCATGGTGTCATGAGTGACACCATGAGTGTCATGGTGGTGTCATGATGAGTGACACCATGACATCATCATGCCACCATGACATCATCATTGTGGCATGATGAGTATCATGATGTCATGTTGAGTGACACCACGACATCATCATGACACCAT